TTGGCAATATCGATGTCTGCCCGTAGAACTCGTGAGACTCCTTGCTCGTCAAATCGTCCTTGGCTTGCAATTTCTCCACGAAGAATGTAACATTGTGCACACAGGTATGAGCGTACCCTGCCAGGGACGGGCCGATTCATGATATTTTATCGCATAGACATTAAACCTTCGAATATACTATTGGTTCCGCCGAATGACCCCGCATCCTTCTTCGCAGATGCGAGCCGCATGATCGGAGATCCCATTGAAACTACTATCGCCAAAGGACCCAATGGGACTACTGTTACTCGCGTTCGCAGTTACCCCATTCAATATCCCCTTCCTAAGCCGGAATTGGACGTCAATTCTATCGAGACGTGGCGCAGCGCGAAGGTACAAATCGCCGATGTCGGTGTCGGTACGTAGACTTTATGTATGTCCTAAGAGTCAGCCCTAACGCTGCTTCGAGCTTGCTGGGCTGATCAAATCGACGGGTACTGGACGGAACTCCCTCAAAATCCGTCTTTGCGCGCTCCCGAGGTATGTATCGGCGCAGGCTGGGGAAAACCGGCCGATATATGGAGTCTTGGATGTACGGTTAGTTTGCGTTTGACTGCGTTCAGTGTGCTCGTCCAATCACTGTTTTGACAACAGCTATACGAGTTTTACATGGGAAGATCTCTCGTTCCGGGGGATGTACACGAGCAATCCATCCCCAACCTGCACAACATCTTCTTTGGAGACTACCCTCCCGAGATGGTTAGCCGAGGGAAGTACAGCGATGTGTTCTACAAACCAGATGGTCAGTGCTACCATCCTCGTTCCATTATGCTCTGCTCAGCTGTGCAAATATAGGCAGTCTGAAAGTAGATGCACCCAAACTCGCGAGGCCATTTGATATGGGGATCCGCAAGCGCAATGCGCCGGATGCCGAGCTTTTCATCGATTTCCTGCGACAGACCTTCGTCCTAGATCCGAGTCAACGAGCAACTTGCCGTGACCTGCTGACCCATCCGTGGCTAAACCGGTACGTCTCTGCTCCTTCTGTTTTCAACTGTCAAGATGACTAAGGCAACTTTGTATGCTTAGCTGATACGGTGACGACCAATTCAAGACTTTTCGCTAATAATCGTCGTATTGCTTTCTTGCTCTGACACTGCTCTGCTCTTCGCCCCTTGCATTGCGACTGCTTGCACGCAATCTCCCCCCTCGATTTATCGAGCCTACTGGCCTAATTTACACAACAATTCGCTGGCTTATTGAGGCGAGTCAGTCATCACTTTGTGCCAAATCACTAAGAGTGGAGCTTGCTGGCACCATAACGTATTGCTGCAGAATGTCAGATGACCCTTGCACCACCTGCTCAAAGTCTCATACGATGCCTGGACCAGAGTGCTTAGTTTGGGTATCACAAGGTGTTTTGTTTCACTGAGTTACTGCACTATGTAAAGTTGCGATGCTTTTAGGAGGCGACTGTCTGCATGATAAGAATCCCACTTCTTAACTTGGAGTACCTTAATGCGCATCTGGACTTGGGCGTCACTGACGTAGCGTCCCCGGGCCAGAGTCAGTTGTTAAACGCATCACTCAGAGAGGCGCTTGACGGGGATCGTGACTTGTACTTGTCCGCCAATGACGCTCTGAACCTGGGGGGACGCCCCCTCCAGGCGGATGAGCACATAATATCCTTATTAGACTACATGTATACACCCGCTGTACGGTCTCTAAACTAGCAGAATCTTTAAACAAGAAGTCTGGGCTCAGAGAAGTGCACGTGCTCGGAGGCGACACACTACTCTACTGCCAATGTTACCTTGCGACAGCAAGGTTTCTGCGGGGTCGGAATTCGGTCGTGAGAAACTGCCGCTTGTTGTCTTTTGCTTGGTCTCCTTCCGTAAATGGT